CTTATCGAAAGAACGAAATCTTAAAAAGTAAGATTTTATTCTTCTATATATCTTTAGACTTGATAGAGAGAGATAAAAAATGTAAGAAATATTTTTAGCGCTCTTAAGTTTCTTTTGAGGTTGTCGAAAAGAATGTGTATTATAGAAAGGACAAGTAAAAAAGTATAAATTATGTGAGAGTATATTTGATTTTACATGATAAAAATTTTAATTTTCTCTAAAAGTGGATCGATTCCTATTCAATTTAACTTGTAAACATTGATCAGACTCCATGTATTGATTAATCAAAAGTAATGATCAGATTTCCATCCTATCCAGTCTAAATGCAAAAGAAAGGATCAAGTTGTATGACTCTTCCTGTGCGTTATAAAACTGTTTGCACTTCATCTGCACACAGGAGAGGCTTCATTTTTCCAAGTCCATGGCATATCCTCAAAACTATGCACTCATACCTTTCCTTCCACTCCGAAACTATTTTCTAGTGCTGTCTGTAGGATAAAGCTAGTCAGCAGAGTTATTTTGTGTGAGCTGAGGAATAAAGAAGAACATATTCAAATGCAAATGCAATTTTTTATTCTGCTCTCCTTTATGATTCAGTAAACAAATAATATTAGAATTCAGAAACAAGTCCTATCCTCTAGAAACCAACTGGAAAATGTCAGAGCTCAGTAGTAGGTCTTCTGAGTAGTCTCTTTCACTTCAAGTGGCACACAATTATGCACTAAAATAAGCAATCTTCTCTGTAAAAGTTGGCCACTCCATGAGACAAAACAAGAGGATGGCAGATGAACAGGTTGGGTTGCCTTTTGATCTTGACTTGAGAAGTGGCACACCAAAGGAAGGAGTCTAAACATGGATTGACCTTAAACCATTGGGTGCTGATCAACTTAGATAGAAGAATCGCAACATGTCAATCTACACACACACACAGACACAAAAAAGCATATTTAGAATGTATTATTTATTTACTTATTTTGTCTGCATTATGAAATTTCAAACCTAAAATTTATCTTCAATATTATATGTTATGAAACAGTAAAAACATTTATGGTTGTCTACAATTGTTTTGCCAGTAAAAAATTGAGAGAGATCATAACTTTTCATGAAGTGAATGCATTCAAGAAGATGATAGGAGCAAGTAAATTCTAGTAGAAGGTCATAATATATAAATGTTATACTGTAACATAATACATCAAATTATTTCCACCAAACAGAAGCAAGTGCGAGCTTAATGCTTTTGTTTTCTTCACTCAAATCTCTCAAGAAGCATAGTGCAAGATGCCATCGCTGGCTTTGTTTTTGGTTTTCTCTTTGATGCAATTGCACTGCTTCTTTTTGTGATTCTAGGAAAAGTGTTTTGGAAAAGAAGAAGAAGAAGAATAAGAATGATGATGATGAGAATTGCCATCAGCTTTGAAGATTTGTCGTGGGTC